TAAAAAATCCCTGTAGCTTCCTTGGATACGGTTGGAGGTAGTGGACTGATATTTTCAACTGCCTCAAGGTTCGTGAGTACAGTATGTTGACCGAACTTCCATTGTCCACTAGAGTGTGGTGGACTTTTACTCCAACAACCATCATTGTGACCACCAGGGTGTCACTCTGGTCTTGAAGGATTCCTTCAAAATCTTCTTCCGTGAACCAGAACGATTCAGGGTCTATGCAGGTCTTAGGGGTTTGATTTCAATAGTTCGGTACGGTTTTTGCACTTCGGGCTTGCCTTCGCCTGGCCCTTCTAGATCCTTCAATACACTGATTTCCGCCCATCATCATTTTGATTTCGGCATGTGCGGGTGGGTTACGGTTAGGGATTGCCTGCTGGGCTCGTGTGGGAGCCCCCTGTAGCAATGGCTGCTACGTCGTAGGTTGATCTGCTTCTTTTGGCTTGGCAACAAACTCCTGTAACCGACCTCTTCGAATTAAGGATTCAACTTTCTCTTTAAAGTCCCGGCAATTATCAGTGTCATGGCCCATCATCCTGTGGTATCGGCAGTATCATCCCTGGCGTTGTCCTGTCTGTCGATCCTTTAGAATTATAGGTCTGCGAAATGCCTCTTTTGTATTGGCTTGCATGAATGTCTCTTCCAATGAGGCTTTGAGTGGGTGGTACTCCCGGAACTTGTATGGCTGAGCCCTGAGACGTTCTCTTTTTCTTCTGTCCTTCTTTCTTTCGGGCTGGGGACTACGTCTTGGTTTTTTTTCTTTCATCATATCGCTGAGGTCAGTTTCGCGTCTTGCTTTCTCTTGGTCAGAGGTTGGTTCTTCAGCGCTTATGTATTTCTCAGCTCGATTCAGGAACTCGTGATAAGTCCTCGGATCGTCCTCGTGTACTGACCACCAGAATCTTGTTTTGGGTCTTAGTCCTGCTAATACAGCCATGAGTTCTGCATCATCAGATATGTTTTCCACTTCCATGGATTGCTTGTTGAACCTGCTCAGATAGCTTTTGAGGGATTCACTTCTTCCCTACTTGATACTCACTAGACGTTCTTTGGGTGTGGTTCTGGCCTTGGAGCCCATGAACTGGACCAAGAATGCCGTTGTCAGATCATTCCAATCCTTAATCGACCTCTCGTGTAGTCTCCTAAACCATCTTTGGGCTTTGTCTCCCAGAGTCGAGGGAAATGTCCGGCATATGATTGCGTTGCTTGCTCCCTGTAGTTCCATCTACAAGATGTATTTGTCAAGATGGCTGAGGGGATCACCATCCCCTTAGTATGCGGCGATCTGGAGAATTTTCAATTTTTCAAGTAATGGTTCCATAAGGACATCCTCGGTGAAGGGGGAATGTCGTTTGGTTTGGTAACCTTCAGTGCCACCTTTGTTTTTAGCCTCCAGTTCGGCGATACATTTTTTAAGCGCGCTTAATTCGGGTTCTGTTTATTCCAAAAGACATTTCAGGTCGGTTTGTCCTTGCGTAGGAGTCAGCGAGTGATGGGTCCCCAATCTGTCGAACACACTTGCAGTCCTTCCCACCCCGGGTTTCTTGCTTTTGGCCTCGTCAGTTCAACTTCTTGATGATTCTCCTCTTGAAAAGTGGAGGGTCCTCCTGATGGGGGGATGCCTTGCCTTTGTCCTTACAAGGGAGATTCCACCTCGGTATCTGGTGGGGACGAATAGGCTTGGCTCCTTTCCAGTCGTCCCACTGCATTTGTCAATTTTTTCAAGGCTTCCCTCATTGTGGTCATTTGAGGGTCCTGCCATTGTGGAGAATTCAGTGGTATACTCGTTTCATGAGGGTGGGTGTGAGATGGATTTCTGGAACTTGAGCTATGACTCGTGACTCTTGAAATTTTTGTGGAGCGAATGAGACTATTTTTCACAATTAGGGCCCTCCTTCTAGTGCCAAACCGCTGACGTCAAAATTAGCAAGGATAATTTAAAACCAGTTTTAAGAAAAAAGGTGATTTAAGCTTGAAAAAGACCATAAAAAATGTTTTTTAAGTGTGATTGTGCCATAAGTCGTTATATGAGTTCACTTGTCTTTTACAAGAGTCATATTCAACTATTTATACATAGTTTCAACCAAAGTTACATCAAATCATTCAAATCAGCAACAGTGTCGAGCTCGAAACTCGGGTCGCCAAATTCTCCTGTAATTGGTCGATGAAGGCGGTGATCATGTGTCAATGTATTACCCAGGTAATGATGACCTGTAAGGAGTTGGAGTTCGAGGGGTTGTAATTGGTTGTTCTGGGTGGCGATGATGTCACCTGTGGTAAGTGTATTTGATTGATAGGGTGATGTAACAAGGGGTAATCATGATGTTTTTCTGAGAGAACGACGGGTTTGTCCGACCTGAGAGTATGGGCCGAACTTACATTTAACTGAGGTGGGATTAGCGAACTGTTTTTATTATGTCGGAGTTCGGATGTCAACAAAGAAATTTATTAATTTTAGAACTTACTTTAGTACTTATAAGCAAACTTTTCTTAAGCTTGGACAAACACGAACAGCTTGATTTTCATTACGAGCAATTCTTTCCACTAGAGATTCGCTATAACAAAATAGAAAATTGTGTTTCATGCCGTTAATTACATGAAATTATTTTATTTTTATTTTTTTTGGAAATAGCATATCCTCTAGTAGAATTATTGTATAGATACTGCAATTTTATCCTTCTCGGTTCACCTGGAATCATTTTTCTTAATCATTTTCCTAAAAGAAACCTCCTTTTTTTTATTGGATTTGATTAATGGCCCATCTTAGTTCACCCCAGATAATAGATTGTCTCAGTCAAGGGTGAATCCAGGGGTCGAGTTCAGCTAGAGCGAACTGCGAGCGTTGAAAGTTTACTATCGATGGCCAACGTCCGTGATAGCGGGGTTGTTTATTAATATTTAATTAAATAATATTCAAAAAATCGTACGGATTAAGAACTAGAAAAACTAGATACACCACTATAACTATAACTATGTACGAACTTTCATTTTGAATAAAAAAAACTGTTCCATAATTTGCAAAATACCCTAATTTATTTTTCAATTAAATAGGCAATATATATTAACAAAATGTCAATATTAGTTATATTAATACAATTAAAATTATTTATGTACTTATATTAATTTTATGTGCTTGTATGATTTCACTTTTTTGCAACCGATTTTTTGTGAATGAAAAGTAAAACCTTTTATTAATTAAATAAGTTTTGCTGAAAGATTTTTTATGAGACTAAGGCTATTTTTTCTACAAATTCATCTACCATTAATTGACAAAACTATCAAATCATTTGATTAGAGGGGAAAAAAAAGAAAAAGAAAATCAAGAAGAGAGACAAAGCACCGATTAAAATGTTTCTACTTGCATTAAACCAGTAAAATTGAATATATAATATTTTGTTACATTGTGTGCTAAAAATCAGCAAGTGTCATGATGGTAAAGTGGTTAATATATTTGAGGAATGTAGCAAGTTCAAATTACCTTCCTTGCATTTGTTTTAGTAAAAATTATAAAAAATATTATACTTAAGAGTTTCGAACACAAGATCTTCAATTCAATAGTGAAAAAGCTAACCAACTGAGCTACCAAAAAAATTTGTTGTTAATATGAATTATTAATTATATAATATAATCTAAAAATTCTATTTATTATCAGGAAAAAAATTCACCCCGACGAAGATCGCTCTAACTCGCCACCACTTAGATCTGCCACTGGTCTCAATTAAATAAGAAATTATTAGAAATAAGTAATATATTTGAGATTATCAATTTTCAATTAATTACTAAAATGTTGGTACAAAATTATTATATTGAGAGATGAGTGGTTGAGAATTAAAGAATAACATTAGGATTGTGTTGAGAGATGTACCGTAATTGAAGTAAGATCGTAGAAGTTGGCTGAACAGTATCACGTAATGGTGGGTCATATTTATGAGGAATCTATCCCCCCACTTAACCATGTCCACAACATGAGCAGACAATGTCTTCATCATTTAAGTACATCATTCCAAATTCGAGGAGATAAGTGCTCATAGTTCATTATCAAATCAAAATCAAGGGTCCACGTTTTTCCCATAAAATACACATAATTAATACTCGGAGATGAGTGATTGAGAATTAAAATTCAATAATAGAAAATTGGGACAAAATATTTTTCCTCGATTTCAAAGTACGGAAACAAAATGTTTTGATCAAGGATGAGATTTGTTAATTAGTAAAAAGTTGAAGATAAAAATTTGATTTAAAAAAAAAAAAAAAAGAAGGTTAAGAACATGAGTTCTACAATGAACAAATGTAAATGACCTTAAATATAACTTTTTGTGATGCATATTTCCTATCATGTGCACTTCTTTGGTATGACCTATCTACTCTTCCAATGAGTTGACTAAAACTTTCCTTTTAAAAAATACATGAGAAAATCTTAAAATATAGAGATTAGGTTTTTCAATAATTTATCTCAATCGAAAACTAATTCACTGTCTCAAGTTTTGCTAATGACCTACTTCTACATGGGAGCCTATGAATTATGAACACGTTATTAGGTTCTACTCGTTATCTAGCCACTATATAAGGACTCATCGAGTCCGTACGTCTTAATGAGACGATAAGATTCTAACTTATAGTTTATGAACTTCAACTAGGAGAGCTTGCCTTGCTATCTTGTTTGGCCGAAGTAGTTGCTTGAAAACTACATTGGTGTAGCATCGATACCTAAAACAATATCCCACGTCGTGTCTCCAATCCAAATCCATTCGCATCATTCCTAATTCATACTTTGTTATAGACATCCTTTTTGAGAAGCGTAAAGGTGTTTGCTGGGCACTTGCTCACTTAATGTAGCAAGGATTTTCATTGTGATTTCAAAACAACTCACACCACTTAAAATTTAAATCATATGCGAGTCGAGAAGAGGACTCTTCACCTGTTTCTCTTGTTTATACTTACATAAAAAAGTTACCAGAGAGAAATGGGATGAAGATAAAATTATTAGTACATACCTGAAGGAGACAATTGAAGGTAAAATTCTTTGTTTTAAGAGTTGTTCAATCTCTGAAATGTGGGAGAAAGACATGGATCCAATGCAAAGCTCCACAAGATCTGCTCCTTGATCCTTAGCTAACTGCATGGAAGCTACCATTTCTTCCTTGCTCTCACATTCCAATGATGTGTAAACTAACAAGTTACTCTTAAAACCCATGAGAGATGAGAAAGACAGACAGACAGAGAGAGGAGAGAAAAATCAAAAAGTCATTGGGAAGAAATATGGAGTTGAGCATGTAGGTAGAGTCATTAATAGAGAGAGGAGTCACATTACTTGTACAAAATTAGTTGACAACGTTGGTTTACAAAACAACATATACACCAATCATTTCAAAAATACTTTTTTAAATTATTTGAAATCAAAGGCCAAAATTCTGTCAACACTTATTTTTTCAACTATTTTTATCAACTTGTTTTGTACAACTAGATTAATTGGAGAGAGGTTACGAATTTTTGAGAATTATTTTATTTTTATTTTTTGGAAACAATGCTATATCCAACCTCAATCTTGCTCGAAAAAAAATCTACGTGGCAATATATAATAGGTCTAATTAAATGAATATATTTAAAAGTAATGTTATTTGCAAAAACTATTTATCCATCAACAATTTATGTGACATTAAGATAATTGTCACATCCTCTTATAAATTCAGGATGAATTTTAATTCATTTGAGAATGTGACCGTGACTCATTGTTACATATATTGCTAATGGGGTCATTTAATGTCACAAATGTTGTCGCGTGGACTCTTGTTGAAATCAGAAGAATGAGATAGCTTCACTCTTTTGGTTGTGCCTCAAATCTTCAAATCTTCTTTTCTAGAACACTGAGAAAAAGGAAAAAAAAAAAATGGAAGAAATGTGAATCTAAAATCAGTTGGGCGAAATAAGTAATTTTGAAATTATGTTACTTTTAAACACACTCAAAAGCATGCACACTGAAATTGTGACATTTTCTCCACTCCCTCACAGTTGAAGTAGTTGCACAACGGAAAAATGATCATTTTTTAATTACTAGTAAGCATATTTTGAGGAGTAATGCTATTTAGTGTCCTTGGATTACAATTCCAGTTTATGTGACGTTAATGTGGCATTAAATGATATATGAATAGTGGTTGAGAATTAAAGAATAACATTAGGATTGTGTTGAGAGATGTACCGTAATTGAAGTAAGATCGTAGAAGTTGGCTGAACAATATCACGTAATGGTGGGTCATATTTATGAGGAATCTATCCCCCCACTTAACCATGTCCACAACATGAGGAGACAATGTCTTCATCATTTAAGTACATCATTCCAAATTCGAGGAGATAAGTGCTCATAGTTCATTATCAAATCAAAATCAAGGGTCCACGTTTTTCCCATAAAATACACATAATTAATACTGGGAGATGAGTGATTGAGAATTAAAATTCAATAATAGAAAATTGGGACAAAATATTTTTCCTCGATTTCAAAGTACGGAAACAAAATGTTTTGATCAAGGATGAGATTTGTTAATTAGTAAAAAGTTGAAGATAAGAATTTGATTTTTTTTTTTTTTTTAAAAAAAAAGGTTAAGAACATGAGCTCTACAACGAACAAAGGTAAATGACCGTAAATATAATTAACGTGTAGTGCAAAACTTTTTGTGATACATATTTCCTATCATGTGCACTTCTTTGGTATGACCTATCTACTCTTCCAATGAGTTTGACTAAAACTTTCCTTTTAAAAAATACATGAGAAAATCTTAAAATATAGAGATTAGGTTTTTCAATAATTTATATCAATCGAAAACTAATTCACTGTCTCAAGTTTTGCTAATGACCTACTTCTACATGGGAGCCTATGAATTATGAACACATTATTAGGTTCTACTCGTTATCTAGCCACTACATAAGGACTCATTGAGTCCGTTCGTTTTAATGAGATGATAAGATTCTAAACTTATAGTTGATGAACTCAACTAGCCAAGATTCACAAAGAGAGCTTGCCTTGCTAGCTTGTTCAAAGATATTCTTATCCATCATTAAAAGTTTACAACAAAATCCTTTGAGACGCCCTCTATAAATTAGCAGACCAATAAGTTGGTAAACAACTTTTTGAGCCTTTCAATCTATTGGTCTAAAAGTTGAAAAAAATTTAATTATTAATTTTTGGGCTTTTCGATCCAATTGACCTAAAAGTAGAAAAAATTATATAAAAGAAATATAAAAAATATATATTAATAATGAGTGCTAAGATGCACACAGGCTCGCAGTCAAACGCTTTCGTTGATCGCTAAATTAGGGCATGAGTCCTAGGCGTACCAACCTTGGACAGAAATGAACAATAATGGTGACAATCTTAATTGCAGAACAATAATTCTAGTTGTACAAAAATTATTTCACAGAAGTGATACAGAAGTCTCACATGTGTTTGTTTTAAGAGTTGTTCAATCTCTGAAATGTGGGAGAAAGACATGGATCCAATGCAAAGCTCCACAAGATCTGCTCCTTGATCCTTAGCTAACTGCATGGAAGCTACCATTTCTTCCTTGCTCTCACATTCCAATGATGTGTAAACTAACAAGTTACTCTTAAAACCCATGAGAGATGAGAAAGACAGACAGACAGAGAGAGGAGAGAAAAATCAAAAAGTCATTGGGAAGAAATATGGAGTTGAGCATGTAGGTAGAGTCATTAATAGAGAGAGGAGTCACATTACTTGTACAAAATTAGTTGACAACGTTGGTTTACAAAACAACATATACACCAATCATTTCAAAAACACTTTTTTAAATTATTTGAAATCAAAGGCCAAAATTCTGTCAACACTTATTTTTTCAACTATTTTTGTCAACTTGTTTTGTACAACTAGATTAATTGGAGAGAGGTTACGAATTTTTGAGAATTATTTTATTTTTATTTTTATTTTTTGGAAACAATGCTATATCCAACCTCAATCTTGCTCGAAAAAAAATCTACGTGGCAATATATAATAGGTCTAATTAAATGAATATATTTAAAAGTAATGTTATTTGCAAAAACTATTTATCCATCAACAATTTATGTGACATTAAGATAATTGTCACATCCTCTTATAAATTCAGGATGAATTTTAATTCATTGGAGAATGTGACCGTGACTCATTGTTACATATATTGCTAATGGGGTCATTTAATGTCACAAATGTTGTCGCGTGGACTCTTGTTGAAATCAAAAGAATGAGATAGCTTCACTCTTTTGGTTGTGCCTTAAATCTTCAAATCTTCTTTTCTAGAACACTGAGAAAAAGGGAAAAAAAAAATGGAAGAAATGTGAATCTAAAATCAGTTGGGCGAAATAAGTAATTTTGAAATTGAGTAACTTTTAAACACACTCAAAAGCATGCACACTGAAATTGTGACATTTTCTCCACTCTCTCACAGTTGAAGTAGTTGCACAACGGAAAAATGATCATTTTTTAATTACTAGTAAGCATATTTTGAGGAGTAATGCTATTTAGTGTCGTTGGATTACAATTCCAGTTTATGTGACGTTAATGTGGCATTAAATGATATATGAATCATTTAATTTCATATTTCATTCAGCCTCTCATCTAATGTCACCTAAACTGGAATTGTATCCCTAGTGGGATTGTATAGCATTATTCTATTTTACAAGCTTGTGATAAGTGAAAATTTATTCGTGCTATATATAATTTGTTGAAAAATCTACCATGTTGATGTATGAAATAGAATATATTGTGTATAAAAATAATTTTTTAAGTTGATTTTCTTGCATTTGTTACACAAAGAACAGTATTCTAAAAAACATAATGCATGAAAATATATGGAGGTCAAGCTTCATTGATGCGTGGTTGGGTGTGACTTAAGTGTAAAAAGAAGTAAAAAATAATTTTCTTATTTTAACTTTATTTTAAATTTTTAATCAATTTAAAAATTATATAATAATAAATACAAATTATAGTACCAAATGCAATTTTAAAAGCTTAATAAAATAAATATAGTTTCAAACAATAAATAAAATATATTATAATAGTGCTAATTGAAATATATAGAGTTTTTAATTTTTTTAATTAGTAGAAGATTGGAAAATGGTTAATTAACTTAATAAAATATAAATAACTATTTCTACAATAGTACAATATGCTATCACCAAATCAAAGGTACAATACACTATAACCAAATCAAAGTTGCAATACATTACATCTAAACCAAAGATATTCTTATCCATCATTAAAAGTTTACAACAAAATCCTTTGAGACGCCCTCTATAAATTAGCAGACCAATAAGCAAACTCGGGATCCACGAGGAGGTTAGCGAGATCAGGATTTCTGTCATAGGCCTTCTTGATCCGGTCTAAGAAGATTGCTCGGATAATACAACCTCCCTTCCAGATCCTAGCTAGTTCCCCCAATTTCAAATCCCATCCCTTTTCTTTGCTCTTCGCACGGATCAGATTCATCCCTTGTGCATAACTGCATATTTTAGATGCATATAGAGCTTTCCGAACATCATCAATTAATTTTCCCTTGTCAACCACCTGATCGGTCAGAATATCACCAAAACCACCAGATTTGAAGACTTTTGCTGCTTCTGTTCGTTCCTCCTTCAACCCACTAAGGAATCTTGAATCCAAAGAAGATTCAATAGTGGGAGCAGCAATTGATAATTCAGCGGCCTGTTGAACGGTCCACTTACCAGTACCCTTCATTCCAGTTTTATCCAAGACTTTGTCAACCAAATAGCCATCTCCCTTATCATCCTTAATGCTGAAAATATCTGCAGTGATTTCAATCAAGAAACTTAAAAGCTCCCCCTTGTTCCATTCTGCAAAAACATTTTGTAGTTCCTCATTTGACAGTTTTCCTACTGATTTCAGCACATCATAAGCCTCAGAAATCAGCTGCATGTCACCATACTCGATTCCATTGTGGATCATCTTAACAAAATTACCAGAACCTCCCTTTCCAATGTAAGTCACACAGGGACCACTATCTCGGACTTGGGCTGCTACTTTAAGGAGAATGTCTTCTATGTATTTATAGGCCCCAAAGGACCCTCCTGGCATCAAAGACGGTCCATTTCGAGCACCCTCTTCACCACCAGAAACTCCCATCCCAAGGTACTGAAGGCCTAATTCAGCCATGGCTTTCTCCCGTCTCTCAGTGTTCTCATACCACTCATTTCCTCCATCAATGATACAATCACCTTTCTCCATGTAAGCAGAAAGTGTTTTGATGGTCTGATCAACAGGCGCGCCTGCCTTAACAAGCATTATGATTACGCGAGGTTTCTGGATTGAATTAACAAATGATTCTGGATCGTGGAAGCCAAAAACAGGAAGATTGCCTTCCTTTTTTGCTCTTTCAACAGTCTCATCAACTTTAGATGTGGTTCGGTTGTAAACAGAGATGGGAAAGCCTTTCTCAGCGATGTTAAGGGCTAGGTTTTGTCCCATAACAGCAAGACCAGCAAGGCCTATTCTTGTTAATTTTGGAGATTGATCAGCCATTGTTCCTCCTGCCAAAACTATAACTTGTAATTTCAAAGTTGATGCAATAAATGAACAGATATTGATATGTACATAAAGAAAACATTTTTCATAACTAATATAAGTACCCTTGAAAATAATCCAATATGAATCAAAAGTAACTTTGTGAACTAGTAAAATTTAACAAGCAACCAGTGAAAACATTTCTAATGAACAGTTGTTAGTACCATTGACATAAATCTATAAGACAAGCAAGACATTTCCACTTTCTTTATTTTGCTTATTCAAAGGATGAGAAGAAGGGGAAAAAAACATACTAATATAAATTCAACCAAAGATCTATTCGCTCGTCACCCCTATAATATCCAATTCACAGAATTGGATCCTCAGCAATCAGTACACTAATCATTTTTTATAATTAAAATCTAACTAAACAATAATTTGCAAGTAATGTAACAACTGGGTGTGTGAGGCATTTCACCTCCCCTCTGGGGATTGGGATTTGGGGGCACACAAACAGGACAAAATCGCAGAAGCAGTTCTAACCTAGGACACTTAACATAAGAAGTCCCTGAATCCCCTCTCGAACAAATGAGCAAAAATTCAGTCTCATATACAATTAGAAATGTATTAGATACAACGCATCAATTAATATACAAAAAGAAACTAAATCTTATTGCCAATAAATAAGGGTTTGCGACACAAGTCCTTTTATGCTACTAAGTTAATCTATCACTAAATTCGCTGTAAGATCCAATCATTTGATACGAAAGAAGTCAAAGTCAAAGTTACATTGATCAGATCTTCTTTCTGTAATTGTTAACACGACATGATACGAAACAAATTCAACAAGATATGATCTTAATCAACTATACCCAGACTTAAACCACGTCAAGAAACAAAAGACAAATTTACAGGAAAAGGAAAATCCAAACAAATGCTAACTTCCAAATATAGAATCACTGTGCAAGTGTCCATTTCATCCAGAGAAAATAAATCAGAAATTTAAATATCCCAAACCTTTGACCGCCTAATTTGTTTAGATCAGAGGTGAATTGAGAATCCCACAGGTGCCCAGAAGAGAAAAAGATCTGTAATTCGAGGAAGATGAAAGGATAAGATCTGTAAAGCGTCTTGGGTGGTCAAATATCGCCAACAATTATATCTATTCCAAAATTTGGACTGTTGTAATGTGTTGGGTGCGGTTGGTGGGCATATGTAATTTTTTCTTCCTTTTCGGAAAAAAAGACTCAAGTACAGGAAATTTATTATCGAATTCAAACAGATGCTGACATGGTGGAATCGGATTCATCTATTTTATTTGTTTTCTTTCCATTTTTCAATGATTTCATGCCGTGTGTCGTTTGTCAAAATTTTTTGTTAACATCGTCTGTATTTATAGTATGATTATTTTTTTATCAATTATTTCCAACTAACACGTTTGTCTTTTTATTTATTTTTAATTAGTTACACCATATTTTAATGATAATAAACGTCCCCAACCTTTTCTCTTTCTTGCACTTAGCTTCCCAACTTTTTTTTTCCACACTTATCAAAATAATTGGCATATTTTATCTTTGATCATTGTTTTTGTCGGAAAAAATTTGTTAGAAGCTGTTAAAATACTTACTTACCTCTCATATTTTTGAATAAGTATAACAAATTTAAAAAATTTATTTTAATTCACATTTGGAGAATATTTGGATAAAAATCATCATTAGAAACAAGATGTACTAATTTGAATCATCGTTAGAGACAAGACACAATAATTTATTTGAAGTTGAGAAAAAGAATGCTATGAAAAAGGTTAAGAACACAAGTACAAAATGAGCAAAAATTACTGCAATTAAAATGTGATCTATATAGTGAAAACTGTTGTGTAACATAATTAGCCCCCGCCCCTTTTCCTCCGATTCTGGCTCACTTCTGTTGTCTTATTTCTTCTATCTTGATTACATGTAAATAGCTCTCCGTAAATAATCCCATGTTTGACAACTATTACAATGAGAAATTTGGGTAAATAAATTTTAAAATAGTAATTTTTGGAATAATGTGTAGTTAAAAAGAAAAAATAATAAATTTGATTTATGTGAAATATTATTTAATTGAAAAATGTGTGGTTAAAAAGAGAGAATTCTATTAAAATTTTAAAAGTAATCAAACAAGGAACATGAGAAGCATTGAAAGTCGAAACATTAATTGACTTTAGAAAAGGTCGAAAGGCCACTTATTTTGAAATTTGCTAGTCTCAGAACGAGACTCGTTTTCGCCAAAAATAGTCACAAATTGATTGTATAGTCCATTTACATAAAAGGCATGTCTAATTCACGAGAATGCTTAAATTGTTCAAAATTTGTGGAAAAACCCCCATCCGCACACCCCAAACAACCATCCCATGTGATTAGGGGAAATGTGCGTAAAGGACAAGTTTTGAAGAAGGCCGATAGAGTGGTGGATTTGCAGTTCGTTCGAAAAATAGATGCCCCAAGTTTGGTCGAAATCAATCAACAAACATAAATATACATTCCATTGCCACAAATCCTCCCCATCTCCATAGTAGCTACCCAATGTTAAAATCCATTTGGCTGAGAGTTCTGACGGCTAAAACACGATGCCACGATTATCACAGACGATCTTTACCACTTGCTCAAGTTCAAACCATGTCGAGGTAACAAAATAAAAAAAATAAAAAAAAAATGCCTAACAAAACAACAAAATTTCAGTGGAGAAGATAGCTCTTGAGCTTCGCTCTCGAACTTACAATGATAACAAAAGTGATGAAGTTTAGTAGATGACTGTGACATGATTTTTTTTTTTTTTTCTTTTTTTAAATTGGGTTACCTCGACTTGTCGTGGTTAAGGATGTGATAATTAATTTACATCCCAAAATTGCACATCTGCACAAATTCCATCTCATTATCAACGTATTTAGTCCAGAGATGCTTGTAATTGTTCATAGCAATATCCAGCCAAGGTTTCATGTCTCCACTGAAATGGATGACAGCAGCCCTATTAATGTCGTCCATGCTAATACTTGGGTTGATCCCAAGGCCAAAAACGTGCCATGATTTGTCCAATAACTTGGTCGATGAGTAGAAAGTAACAAGCCCAGCTGGTAGTGTCCCTAACTGCCATAGCATTCGATCCTCGTTCTGTCCAATTGTTAGCGAAAACCATTCCGTAAGTGAAATACTAAAAATGGATGAAAATGCCAAATTTGTTTCAAGTAAAAAGAAGGAAAGATAATAAATCACTGCAGAATAAAGCATTTACCAATTCCTGCCAATAATGGTATTGCTCAGTGCATTTCTGTTGCCGCCAAGCATCAAGGTCAAACATATTCATGCCAAATGCCCATGCACAAGCCCGTGGATTGAACTTCTCCTTAACGAGGGGGTGAGAAAAGTTCAAATATTCAGCATAGCGACGGAAAGACCCAAAGCAGGTATCAACTGCTCCATTTACTTTTCCATCCATGTCCACGCTCCATAAGGAAGTCAAATCCTTCTGAACTACAGTATCATCATCCAGAAACAAAATCTTGCGTAGATTTGGATACATTTCAGGCAAGTAGAACCGAAGGTGATTCAGCATTGATAAGTACTTGGGGTTTCTATACTTCATGTTGTTCACATCTTTCGTGGCATTCTCAGCCCTGTTCTCAAAGTAAAATTTCCGTAAACTCACAGATTTGAGCTGCTTGAACACTGGTGCATATGAGGAATCCAAGAACTTGAATTCATCCACTGATTTGATCTCAATATGGGCTCGCCCTTGTACTGGTCTCATCCTAAACCAAACCTTCGTCGCAGCTAGATTCATCCTATCAGTAACAATATGGATAACATGCTTCCATGGCTCCTCTGCATTCTTGACAATGGAGTTCACTACCACGGAAATTGCAATCACATTATCAGAAAATATAGCATAATGGTATAACCTTGGGTCCTCGAACTCAGTCTTGGGCTCATCGTCAATGTACTTTTCAGGATGAGCTATTCTCTCCTCCATGAGACGCATTGCAAGACAATGCAAACTCTTTGGAGTAGATTTTGCCGCAATCATGCTGGTAAATGCACCACTCTTCTTGGCCTTCAAAAGCAACTCATTGACCGCAAAAATCGTATCCTTCAATTTCTGAATCTTAAACTGATTGTCATAGGATTCCTTGGACTCAACAATCATTAACCTAGCAATCTTGACTTTATCCTTAACTTCCTTCTCGAACTGCCTCAACACATCCTCATCCACTGGTCCATCAGATTCAAATAACACTTTGCGGTAGGTCTCTTTCAGTTGAAGGTCTGAGAAATTCTTAGCCAAATTGTCAAACATCTTAAGCTGCCTAGAGATCTCAATCTTGAGCCTCCTAGCATATGAGGAATAAGCATTCACTAGGGCAATGTGATTATTTGCTTGATTATATATCAAATCTAACCTAGTCTTCAAAGGATCGGACTGCAAAGACAAAAAGGTTCGGTGCACATAAGCATTTCCAATAATCTCTGTTGCCAAATAATATTTCATTTACACTATCTACTTTAATTTCAAATTCGAACTGGACTTCATTTTCTTTGTTTCTCATTAATTTTTTATAATCAGATTCTGGATAACGCTACAAATGATTTGTATCAAGTACACCAACATGTTATTTTCATTCTACTTATTGACGTCCAAATTCAAACTGGAATATGTAGTTTGTTTTAACTTATTAAAACTTAACTGAACATAAAATTGAACACGTTCGCTAGTATTATCTACGCGAACGATATTCAATAAGCAGCAAGACTAATTTATCAGTAAACTCAAACAAATGCATATAGATTCATACATCATATATGATAGGGGAATAAATGAGCTTACGGAGTCGGGGTGGGAGGGTTGCGAGGAGAATAGAACGGAGAAAGTAGCAAGGAACAGGAGTGTTAACATGGCGGATACGAATATTCGGTAGCTGAAGAAATTACGGAGTCCGGATCCGCCGCCGGGAGCGATTCGTCCACCCCTAACCGCCATCGCCATAAGAATTCCCTGAATAGATCTATGTAAATTCCGGCGACGGTATCTATACCCTATAGATATCACTGTTTATCGATATGTTACAGAAATATGTTGTAATTGCCGTGATTATACGTCTGTGTGATCGGCAACAGATACCTAGGGCTTTTATTTGTACTCTGGATTTGAGCTCTGTGTGTGTGTGTGAGAGAGAGAGAGAGAGAGAGAGAGAGAGAGGAGAACTGGAGCGAGTAGGAGAAGTGACTGGTCAGTGGTCCGACCCGCGTTTCGTCGGTGGGTTTTTCCCTGAATGATTAGACCTGCTTTCTCTTTTAACTATAATTTATTAGTTTTTCTCAACATTTTAACTATACATTCACAAAAATAACATTTTAAAAAATCTTTATCAAACAACCGCTAAATTTCAAGATGGTTCTCTCTTGTTTCAAGAACTGAATTCAGCACGCATAGAGCGTGAGTTTTTTTTTGTGAATGATGACCTCGAGCGAGTTAATTATGCCCATGGTCACCTTAATTTTTTCTGTACAGAGAAATTACTGTTAGAACTGTGCCAGACGTTATAGCATCTAGTGCATGTTGTCTGTTTTTTTTTTTTTTTAATCGATAGATTTTCTTCAAGTGTCTTCTGTATAATATTTGGCAGACATTTTTTGTACATATAACAGCTTTGTAATTATTTTAGGGTAACGATTAGTTAAGTTTTTAAATACATCAATAATCACTCCGTAAAAATATTCAATATGTCATCGATGCAATTTATTACATTAAGTTAGCAAAATTGCTTTATAAAAAATGGAGGTTTACCATATGGTTTAAGTACAAAAATCTTCCCAAATCTAAAACTACACTACATCTTTCTTCTGAATGTATTTAATTTTCAACTCCTAAATTTAATTGAATTAACGTAATAAATTATATTGTTTGGTGACATATTGTCACTTAACGACGTCGTATATGATTTATTGTTTGTTTTTAATCGAATAACCATTAGTGTAATATTTATAAACTTGAGTGGTTATTACGGTAGAAACTAGAAAGATAACTTCACTAACTATTGACATATTGACGCCAAAATAAAAATAAAAATGATCAATGCCGTAATTTACCCCATTTCAGGCCGGTTCTTACAAAAATCATTTAACCCAAATAATTACATACTACTAAGTCCTTATTTGAAAGTGATTATACGAAAATTACATTTTTCTCACTCTCATTTTAACGTAAGTTCAAAAAAATAAAAAATAAAAAATCATGTTTTCACATAATTTTTTCCTTTTTTAAGGGATAATTGCAGAAGAAGCCCCAAGCCTTTTAAATACTAGCAGATTTTCCCCTAACATTTCATTTATTGCAGTCTTCACCCCAAAACTCTTAAAACGTTGCATCTGAAGCCCTTTTAGATGGAATCTCTCCAATTTATTAGTTAATTTGATCTAAAAAGGTGATTTTGACAACATTTTACTTTTTAGGTCAAACTAAGGTTAAATTGGACAGATTTCATCCAAAAGGGCCTCAGATACAACGTTTCAAAAGGTTTGAGGTGACAGCTGTAACAAATGAAAGATTAAGAAAAAGTCTATTAGTATTTAAAAAGTTTGAGACTTCTGCTGCAATTATCTTTTTTATTTATTTTTTATTTTAACTATACGTTCTCTAAAAACTCCACTTTAGAAATACACAAACATACGAGCTCGAGTCTAAAATAATAAAATCGATCGTATTCTATTACTTCTATGCGTTGTAGCATTTTCTTTGTATTGAGAAATAATGTAACTTTATATAATCCTCATTTCTCTTGAATAAAATAATAGATATACAACAACTTCTTGTATAAAAATAAAAATAATATTATAAATTGTTTTTATATGAAATAAAAGGTAGATTAATCTTTTTGAATGAACAAGATCGCACGATCCTCTGATTAATAGTCCTACTGTTTGAAGACAAGTGATAAGGTGTCTTGAATGGAATTCTGGACTTTTTGGAAACTTTATTTGCTTGAAACTAGGAGTCATGGACTTAACGTTGCTTTGAATCTTCGAGACTTGAACTTGTTTGGATTTAAAAAAGATGTTGATCTCTTTAGATTCTCGAATTTGGACTTAAGAGATCTTATTCTCTTCTTCCATTAGAATTTTCTTCAAACTTCATTTTGGACCGGTGATTTTTCTCGTGCACTTCAACTTATGATTATTTCTTGGACATTAGCTATTTATAAAAAGGATTTTTTTTAATCATATTTAATTATATTCAAATTAATTATTAAATGTAAATATGAATTTTTGAAAAAGTAAGATCAGCCTCTTACATGGGCTTTTCTAAATCAATTGGGTTGGTAGACTTTATAGACTTTGATAAATTTAATGGGTCATAAATGTAATAGTAACCCAATTCATTTTATTATTATTTTTAATGTCTATAATATTGTAATGATAGATTAGTTAATAATAACGTGCACGGCCCTCCATCTATAAATGCCAGAACGTAAAAGCCCTTCCATAATCAGATGTAATTTATAAGACTCTAAACAAGTTTATGCCTATGTTTGTTGTTCGTCAAAATCTGATAAAAATTAAGTCAATAACTGATTTTAACCATTAATTGGTGAAGATTCATAATTTTTGAACTATATATTTCATCTACACTTATCAAAACTTACTAAAAATTGATTTTAATTTGCATCAAACTGTGGCTATAGAATGTAACATATAGATAATATATAATTAAATTGATTTAACATGTGTCTCGCTAGATATGTGAATTATAATTAATAACAGTTATAAATATGCGATTGAAATTAATGTTTGACTAGATTTATAATATCCTGATTAAATTGAAAAAAAATGAAAAATGTTTAGTTTGGAGGTCTGTACATTTATGTTTGAGTAATGCTATGTAATCCCGATGGGGTTGCTATCCAATTTAGGTGTCACTAGATGATATGTTAAATAAAATGTAAAATTAAATTAGTTATATAATTTCATCTATTATTTTCACATTAACACCATTTAAACTAGGGTTACAATTGGGCTAAATAACATTATTCTTTATGTTTAATTTTTTTTTTTTCACGAAGTTGTGGAATTGACGAAACCTATTTTATGCCGTTGACTCTTCTGTTTACCATACAGAAATGGTTGCATTAACACATTCAGCTTTTCTTAGTATTGAACTCTAATGCGTCTTTTGTCTACATTTATTAGAAAGTTGAGAACTAAATAGTTAAATTATTACAGGCACGTTCGATGTAAATAATTTTAGAATACATTTTGTGAAAATTATTATTATTATTATTATTTGGTAGAATGTGGTTAAAAGTAGGGAAAAAATATGAATTCATATACAAAAATATTTTTATTGAGAGATTGTGTGATGAAAATAAGTTTTCAATTATCTTTATCAAACATAGACTACATTTCAAGTATCCACCAAATAAATTCTTTGACCTTTTTTTTTTTATCGTTTTTGAATGAAATTAGGGTCCGTTTGATTGCAAAAATAGAATTGAATTGCTTAAAAAATGAATTTTAGGGAATTGAATTGCCTAGAATTATTTTCCTGAGAATTGTAAATTATTGTGTTTGATTGGTATAATTTTTTCACGTGGAAAATGTTGAAATAAAAATATTTTTTGATGATCGTTTGGTTTTGTTTTACATGAAATTGTCAATTAAAGGGATATATTTTACTGGTATTGGGGATTAAATTTGTTTCCATTGCCAACACAAAAAATAAATATAAAATTTTAAGAAATCATCTATTTTTTTGTGTTCGTTTGATTTTATTTTACATGAAAATTGTCATTTAAAGGGAAAATATCACCTAGAAAAGAAAATATTTTTCATCTTTTGTGGAAAATAAAAACCACCTCTACCAAAAGAAAATATTTTCCTTAAAAACAAGAAAAATTAGGCATATTTTCAAAAGTCGAAAAATGTTTTCCATGGAAAAAAAATAGCAATCAAACACTAAAAATAAAAATTTGGGTGAAAAATTGATATTTTTCATGGAAAATAAATATAATCAAACACACTGTTAATGTTTTCATCCTAGACTTGGTAATTCCAAAATTATCATCTTCTACCTCAAACGAATGGGTGGGTCTTACCATGTGAAAGATTTGCAACTTCCATCAGTAACCACATAGACCTCTCATCTGTTTTCAAATATCTCTGAAACATCAATTCCAAACTTAAATTTCTCCGTCCAACGGAAACAATGGTGAAACAAGACTAACATGATTGCAACTGGGAGAGACCCACCATACACTATGTTCCCTTAATACCCAGTAAGGGATATTGGAGCAATCGAGGTTTCTCTGACTTTGCTGGGCTGGCCCCTATTGCCACAGATCATAATTTTTTAGTAGGAAATGCTCTTACAAAATCATTTTCGTCTTCCTTCTGTTAGTTTATACTACGAACCAACTCGTCCACAAAATCCTTCTGCAAGTACATTTCGTGCTTTCTCTATTGTATTTCACCTGCAAGAACCGATAATCCACTTCTGGTAATATTGCATAGAGATCTAAGAAACTCTCATTCTTTTTCTTAATTTTTTGGTTCCTGTTTTTGCTCTTTTATATAAATTCCATAATTTGCAAATCTAAACGTGAATAGTGCAATCATTGTGAAAATTATGTGATGGGCCAGTCCCCGTTTTATCACATACTTCCTGTGTATGAAGTGTGTTCGCCACACGTAGACTTGTGTTGTGTTGTTTACATGAACACTGACACAGACCGACCTTAGTGAATGCAAAAATCTATTTTCATGGAGGAATTCATGTCTAGAATCCTTATCCAGTAAAGACAAGAGTGATATGTTATATAGGACATTATTTAACCGATACTTCAACTCAGAGAAATAAAACAGAAATATAATATTTCTTAATGATGCCCCGAAGAAAAGAAGAGACAAGGAAAACAAAAATCACTGCTGCTTCGTCTCAACAAGGCAAATTTTCAGAAATCAAGAACTGCAGGTTGAATAATTATTTTTGTCTTTAAGGCAAATCATTGTAGGGATCATCATCAAGATCTCTCAGGCTAGGATAGGGACTATTGAGCTGCATGTCAGCCAGCATTTGGCGAAGCCCTGAAGCTTCTTCTTTGAGTCGAGAATTTTCCTGGACGACTCGATCATGGTTCTCCGAGACATGGTTCAGTGTGTCTATCAGTTGTCGATTCTCATTTCGAAGCCAGACAACCTGTGACCAAAGCTCGTCCAAGTGCTTTTGTTTTCGCATACGTGATCTTCGTGCAGATTCCCGGTTAGAAATCATTCTTCTCTGCTTCCTCTCGTTTATTATACTTAGCTGTTGCTCATCCGCTTCGTCAGAAGTTGAGTTACTGCTGAAACATGTTGATTGAGGATTGAATTCTTGAAATTGAGGCGTCATCTGAAATTGATATAGAGATTTCGAAAATCTGTTCAACTGATATCCTGCCATGTTGTTATCAATCGTGTCAAAATGGGTCGGGTACTGAGTTGGGTTTGAAGGACGTAGATAATGAATCCCCGTAACCTCACTGGATTGCATTGTATTTGTGGATAAATATGACCTCAGTGGATATCAGGTAGAAGTTGTTGGTAGAAGGCGAAGAGAAACATGAGAAGAGGGACTATTATATAGCATTGAAAGAGGCTGTGTGGCCCCATTCTATCACTATGAGTAATAGAGTTCCTCGAAGATGAGACCACATTACTATGATTCCAAACACATGTATGCACTTACTTAGTATCATAACTTTGCATGATTCAAAAGACTGTGTTGAAAATTATAGAACTTAATTCTATTATGCCAAATACAATTAATTTGAAGAAAGAAAAATTAATAATAAAGAACATACAAGATTTATAGATATTAGTTCTAACGTCTTTTCTCCCTGTTATAGTAATTCACTATGATGAATAAAAGGTTTACAAAAGAAAATTGCAATCCTATCTTTTCTCTCTCTTTTTAATGATAATAATAAAGTTTAAGGATGATTCAATATTTATAAAATAAAATCGAATTATACAGGTACTCCAATTTATTAATAGAATTTTACAAGAATATAAATTCCTAAAAAATAATTAGATTAATTTGAAAGAAAAGGTTTTTTTTTTTTTTTTTTTTTTTTTTTAAGGGGGGGCCCCCCCCCCCCCCCTCCTTCATCCCCGGGAGGGGGACCTCTTGCCACCCTTCAACCCGCACAGCGAACTCATTGGGAGGTCGATTACCAACTAGCTCTGGGAAGTGGCAATAGTTAGGATAGATAATAAATAAATTTCACAACATAACAACATGTACATATCAAGTCTGTCTTTTGTCCATGGTATTCAATGGATACATGTATACATGTGTTGCCATGAAACATGAATACATAATCTAGGCCAATCTATTAGTTGAGTTGTGATAATCTTTTCCCCAAAAAAAATGCTTACATCATTGAGAGGGAGAGATTATTGTGGGGGCTATAATTATTCAACTTGGGAATGTTTAGGAAGAAAAAAAGTTATGTAGGATTTTTAGGATACGTTTAGTGACATACAGGAATTGGAGAAAAAGGGAGGTATTGGGTTGGGAAGGCAATTCCATTTCCAAAATTAGAAATATTGTATGAAGAAATTAGTGACTCCACGACTACTTTTTGCAGTATCATCTTAGATCATCATGTACTCTTTATTTTGATCATATCATAAATCCAAATTAATTATATTGACTTTTTATTGCAAAGTATTTATAATAGTGAAAATGAGTATTTCACTGTTTTCAAGTTTTGTTGTTCGGTAGAATGAACCATTTACATTTCCCCTTGTAGCTGAATATTTGCCTAACAATCAGAAATGAGAGTCTTCGAAAATAATTGAAATTTAGCTCTTGATTCAACTATCTTGTAGATAGTTGATATTTATTTTTTACTACAAAAATATTGTATAGTCAGTCATATCACATCGTTGCTGCTTAGCAACAGTGATATGATACATCAACTAATTGATGGATCATTTAATTCGTGAGATCTACCATGAACTTATTTACCAATTAATTAATGTGCAAGTCATTGTTGCTTAGTTAATCCTCTCTGTGTGTGTGTGTGTGTGTGTGTGTGTGTGTGTGTGTGAGTATGCACGTATATACATATTGAGTGATTCGGGTGGAGGGAGAGATTTGTGTTCAAATTGAATGGATTTATTATACAGCCTCATATGGGAGGTGCATTTACTGATGATTTTATTTGTATTGATAAACTATTTCTAGAATTATTATAGATATTTTCATGCCCTTAATGACACTTTTCGAAGGAGGACCAAACACTATTGTACCGGTTAGAAAGAAAGAAAAATGAAAAATATAAATTGAAAACAAAGTAGGAAGGTGTTGTGCACTTTGAATAGATGTAAACCTGACAAATTACCATTTTTATTCAGTTTGTAAAGATGTTGTATGGTTGGTGGGGAGGATAGGAAGGTGGTATTGAAATTCATTTTTCCCACTAATCAAAAGAAGCTTATAATGCATCAAGAAACCATAATCCCATGGAGCCTCCTAACATATTGAGTGGCCAAAATGGCCTATTCTATCATTAGACAGATTTTGACTCCTCTTTCTTTTCTTGTTCTTCCTTTAATGAGTTTAGTTGAATACAATACATCATGAGTGAGTCAATTGGTACTTGTATTGCTTCCTTTAGGGATTACCATTTTTCTCCATATCAATGATACACTAACTATATGGTATATACACTAGCCAGTTTGATTTTGCTACAAATCTAATTTTTAGCAAATTTAGATAAAAGCTGATAAAACCTGTAATCCATTAAATACGTGATTGGAAAAAAAAAATGGAGAATATTCAAGAATAAGAACCAACACTTGACTATAGTGCATGTTTGGCTAAGATTAAAAATTTACTATTAAGCTTTGAAATTACGTCTTCTGAAAAATGTACTTTACATTCAAATTAAGTCTCTCTTTTATTATATATATATATAAAAAGTCATATATCTAAACATATTTGAAAATATGTGCTGGACTTACTTTTAAATTCAACCATGCATTCTATTTTTTTGCCATCAGGATTTGATCTTGAAGTGATGTGCATTTCATGAGTAATGATTTACAAACTTGATATTTTGAATCAACATTTATACAAAAAGATATGGCATGAACAAGTTGGTTTCACTCCACTACAAATAATTTATTGGAACATTTTGTTTTATTACCCGGTATATTAAATTATTTAACTCTATTTCAAAGAAGTCAATCATATATAATATACAATTTATATATGTTCTTGTCCACTTATTCCTTCTCGTTCATTAAAACGACGAATCGAAAAGCCTGAATTGGTAAGAAAAATACAAGTTGGGTACAATTTTTAATAGATGCTAGTTAATAATTATCAAGAATTTAGAGAAAGAGAAAAAAAGATGAATCAATTCTTCTTATTTTAATTGGTCAAGGATTGGTATTTTCATAATATGAAGTCAAGAGTTCAATTATCATTACTTCATTTTCATTCGCTCTATATCAAAAAATAAAATAATGAAATCACTCGATTATTTCTTTTGATGTGAAAGAAATGATTAAATACATATTACCCACTTGAGGCACAACCCCATGTCACTAGATCTTATCCATCTTTCACAAAATCATGCTTGATATGGTCATCTTTCCCATTATAACCCCAACTTTTATAAAAAAAAAAAAAAGGAAATTGGGGTGGAAAGGAAAATTACTATATTCTGAAGGAGCGTTTGTGTAAATCAAAGAATTGTGAAAGGCATTGATCAAATGGTAAAGAATCAATCAAATGGAAGCAGAGTCCTAAACTAACGGCCAGGGTATGGCGCGGAGGGTACTGGATTTAACACCCCCTTTTAGTACCAAACAAACAATTCTCATTTGTCCATATTGAATTAAGGTTTGCTGACTAAAAAAAGTATAGGCGCATGATAATAATTCTCCCTTCTGGACCTACATTTGCGTGGGTGCACCACTATCAGTATCTCAGTACTGTCCATTATGTAAAGAGTCGATTACATAAATCATTTTTATTATCCTATTGGATTCGTTTTTCAAAAATTCTATACAGTTCGGTTATTAAACACGTACAATAGACCGTGTTAATTTCAGTCTATTATGATCATACTACTTATACGAACACGATTATTTTCAAATTGTATAAAAATAATGAAAGAAAAATACTTGTTTGATTGATTTTATGGGCTTTAAATAATACACCGAAACTTTATTCAGGTGCTCTAGCCCACGATGGGGCTCTCAATTGTCACATGCAAGCCATTCATGCACCCCACTCAAGTAACCTTCACAAAGTTTTTCTTTCATGGTAGTAGTGAAGGCAAACGATTTTCCATGTGGCAATCAAAGTTTTTGTCTCAACTTGTTTAGGTATAAGGGATTTTTTTTTTCTTCCATAATACTGTATAATACAATAAGGAAAAATTTGTATAATGTTATTCAATGTTACTCGGTTGAACATATAATATGATTCCGAAAACAAGAAACCACTTAAAATTGATTGAGCCCACTCATGGTTTTTGGTTCCAAACAAAAAAAAAAATTATTCTTAAATTGAGAAAATTAAGTTCTTGTCTTATGCATAATGAGTTCAAGAGATGTACAAAGTTTGGTTAAGTATGGATAAGTTCATCATTTGCTTACCTTACTTCAATCTTTTACCTTAAAAATACATAAAATAAAGCTCCATTATTAATTTTTCCAAATGTATAATGCTAATTTTTTTTTTTAATGTTTCAAAAACATTTTATAAATAATTAATGTAATACACTTGTGGGTGGTGCATTTGAATAATTACAACTATTTTGGACACATTTGAACAATGTGCTTACGTACTTGTTGTAAGTTCTTGATCCACTCAGAGTGTGGATAGAATAGGTGTTTGGTTATTTTAAGCAAACACCTATTTTTTTTTAGAGTAGGTGTTTGGTTATTTTAAGCAAATGGGCACTGAAATTATTTATTTATTTATTCTTTTTCACCCTAAATTTGGTGTAAACAAAACATTATGGTAACTTTTATCTTAATGCTGTCGAAAAATATGATTATCATTTTTATGATGAAGGTACTGTTAATTTTTGCCATGTGTCGAGTTCTGAAGGTGACCAGAAATTAGTTCATCTTGATGGTATTTCACTAAGAAATTTTTTTAATCACTAGTCCCAATCTATTGCTTGAATAACAAGTTGATCCTCAACATTTTAAAATGAGCAAGGTAATCCGTGTACTTTCATTTTAGGTTATAATCAGTCCCCTCGTGAAGGAAATTGTCCAAATTAGAATTTCTAGGTACATTCCATATTAAAAAGAAAAACCTAGTTTAATAAAATTGGACATAAGAGAAGCATCGAGCAAGTGATATTTTGGACAATTCAATGATCGAAGACCGATTAAAAAACAGTAATAAAATGTTGATGAAGACCAACTTTGCTTCTTTTTATATGTTAGAGACCAAATAAGTATTAAAAAAAAAAACATTGTGGTCATGGACGGACCCACATGGGCACAATTTTTTTTATTTATTTATTTTAAATATGTAAATTATCCAAACCTTGTCCATTGCCAAACTTTTTTTTTTTTAATGTGTAAATTATCCAAAACCTTGTCCATTGCCAAGCCCAATTGCATAAACCCATTATTGTTCTTTCACTTGTCCAACCTTAAGTGAGACCGATTAAAAAACAGTAATGAAATGTTGAT